ACAGCAGGCCTGATAATCGTATAAGACTGTTCTGACAAATACACTTCTTTAAAATACCGAAAGAAATGGATTTAAAAAAAAAACCCATAGTTGATATAAAATGTTTTCTTACCACCTCCCCCTGAGCTGCATTCAATTCTGTTATACCTCTTGGCGAAAACGGCAAGCAGATTATGATTAAAAAAATACCAGTTTGCCACTGCGGGTTTATTAGCAAGTTCCCTTTGGGAGGGAAATCATCGCCATCTGAGAGTTCATAATCAGCTGCCCTCTTAAGACTCTTACGCACGAGGGATGCATACCCTGCTCAACGCCTCCCACTTTTTGTGTCACTAATGTGAAGTGCGGGCAGGATCGATACAGATCTGAGACAATATTTGTAAGTTAACTGAGGTGGGCCGTGTCGATCTCAAGTTTAAAGTGTTAGGCCTACATCCTTTTTTTTTTGGCAGGGCCAGCAGGCTTTCGAATCAACCGAAACTTAATATTTAATACTATCTCTCTTAAGCCAAGACTGCTGTAGGACTTCCGATCCTAATTTTATATAAACACAGAGCGCCGTTATTGTAATATCCCCTTTAAAACGGATGATAGTAAGAGTCATTTGATTGAGAAACATAACGCTTTTTTGAAGTTCAGTCACCAATCACCCTATAACGTCCTTTTAAATGTAGTGATTTGGCAAGGGTGTAAGCTGTGGCGCGTTTAGACACCACCCCCCCCCCGCCACAATTTTATATATTGCCAAATAAAATTAAAATGATTAGCAATCGAATAGCTTCGTAAAAATAGGTTCACGTCACCCTATAACGTCCTTTTAAATGTAGGGATTTGGCAAGGGTGTAAGCTGTGGCGCGTTTAGACACCACCCCCCCCCCGCCCCAATTTTATATATTGCCAAATAAAATTAAAATGATTAGCAATCGAATAGCTTCGTAAAAATAGGTTCACGGGGCCCCTCACAGGCACGGGGTCAGTATGTAGTTGCCTACTTTGCTTTTAAGCTAATCCGGCACGGCTGAAAAATGGTTAACTAAGAGTAAAAATTAGATGACCCATGTATGCAGCTATACAATGAAGCCAGAGGTATAGTTTTAAAAAAAGCCAGGATTGTAGAAAAAACAAAGAAACTGGCGTTAAATAAATAACCCAGGGTTGGGGGTCAAATTAAAAAAAAAGTTTTTTTTTTTTGCATTCAAAGTTGATAGTATGATTTTTTTTCCTAAATCCCAACTTTTTTGTCCCTTCAACTTCAATGTCTAAGGCAGGGGATGCAGGGCCCACGCGACGGCTCTGGTTGTACAGAGAACCCAGGGATGCAGGGCCCACGACGGCTCTGGTTGTACAGAGAACCCAGGGATGCAGGGCCCACGCGACGGCTCTGGTTGTACAGAGAACCCAGGGATGCAGGGCCCACGCGACGGCTCTGGTTGTACAGAGAACCCAGGGATGCAGTGATCCAATGAGTGGCGTTTAAACAACAACCCAGTTGTACATTTGAATGAAAATGCCCACTGAGTGTAGAGAACACATGTTGAGAACTCATATTTCCAGACAGTAAGATGTATCGGGACACTCCCAAAAAAAAAAAAAAAAGGTGGGGGGGGGGGGGGGGGAATGAAGGAAAGGTTTGACACACATTTCCGTTTGTCCTCTGAGAGAATTCCTCATCTCCATCCGGTGAATCTCAGCGTTCAAACCCATGATGATAAGCTAAGATAAAAATGTCTGTGACCATGTGCTGTTTATACAATGCGTTTGTCGCTATATTAGGCTTGAGGCAAGGGATGGAGCACTGGTTATTGTGACATGGGCGAGCTACGGTCGCCTACACTTTGAGCAGACGTCTCAGATGGTCATTTCTTCAGCCCTGTCCACAATTTTTATTTGCAAAACTTAAAGATTCAGTAAAATAAAATTTAAAAAAAAAACGTTTTAGAGATGGCATGATTTCGTTCTTGCACCCATGCTCGTGGAGAAATAATGCAAGAACAGCGGTTTATGTTAAAAAAAAAAAAAAATTCTTTTTTTCCTTCACAAACCCCCCCCCCCCCAAAAAAAAAGTGTCGAAGGCCACGTTATGAAATATATATATATATATATATACATTTTGTCTATTTGTTTAACCAGATTCTGTTGAAGAAGAATATTTTCTTGTCTAGTACAATAGTTTTAAAAGAACATTTTTATTTCTTTCAATTTTTTTTAATCGATTTGTGTCTCTTCGGGCCTAAGCAAAGGCGAAAAAAAATAATAATAGGAGAACCATTAATTATGTTTTTTTTAGCGAGGTACAAATAAATAGGAATGAAAATTTAAATAATTCATGGCAACATATGGGTTAACGATCATTTTATATTTCATTTTAATATCGGACGTTGACCGTTGAGAAGATAGCTGCTAAGGTTAATGGCTTTAACTTGATTAAGTGTCGAACGAAGATAAACATTTGAAAATCAACTAAAGAGTGTTGAATTCTATCGAGGCTAACAGACTTCAGCAGCAATGAGTGGGATGGCTAATTCACTAGGCACGCTTGGAAAGAGTGGGGAGCTACATAATGAAGATACAAACTAGGGCATAGCCGGGTAGTGACCCGGACACCCAGAAATGCCGAGTATTCGCACATCCGGAACACACCCGAATCCGGCAAAAACAGAACGGGGGACTGGGTGTTAACAAAATATTATCTTCTCATTTAAAAAAAAATGTTTTCCACCCAATGAGGACAAACTTTGAAATGATTGTATGTACCTTTTACCTGAATGAAATAAATGATAATTGAAAGCTAATTGAAACTGCAAAGCCCAGTCTGAAAATAATAATGCACTTGCTGCGAATTTTGTGTCGTTGTCTTAGCAAGATGCATATCTTTGGTTATGACCATGGTAATTTCTGTTTGCAATTAATATTTCATTTCCCATTCTGATTGGCTGACTGCACTTAGTAGCCAAAGTTTGTGTGTGGGGACTGGCAACACTGACGCATACAGCGAAGACCCGCTCTGTGTTTGATGCTTTTGTTGTTTATAGCCTAGAGTAGTGGTTCTCAATCTGTGGGTCAGGACCCGCTTGGGGGGGGGGGGCGCCTGACAAAATTTCAGGGGTTGCTTGAGAATTTAAGAAATTTGAGGGGGCGTTTGTGTATATTTTTTTATTATTTGAATGTTCATTAAAATTTTTAACTCCATTTACAGTGACAGACTAGTTTAAAAAAATTATTGTTACTACACTTTTAACTACAGAAGATACATAAAAAACAACAACCAACCTTTGATTCATTCGGAAGATGTCAGTGACTAATTAAATATAAATATTTGGCTGTTTCTTTTCATTTTACAAAAAAAAAAAAAGTACATTATACAGGATTTAATATATTTTTCTTTCACACCAACCCCTATTAAACGTTGGTAGCTTCCACGCAAAACAATAACCAAGTGTTTGAATGTATACATTGTTTTTTTTATAGGGATTGACTTACAGAGCCCCCTCTACAGAACCTTCTTAGCCCTATTGCTGCTTCCATTGACCACCCCCCACACCCCCCCCCAATCAAAATTACAGTACAACTTACAACGCCTTTAAAAAAAAAATCTTCTGTAAAAACAGCTGTTTCTCAATGTAAATTCTGGTTGTAGGTCGCCACAATTTGGCAAATGTTATAACACCTAAAGTACATAAATGAAACAAAACAACACGTGACTCTGGTGATGACATCATAGATTTATTAGAGATATCTTCATCATGATCATTCATTTATAACAGTAGAAGAGTGATCTGAAAAAATACAAGCAAGCAAAAATAAATAAATAAAAGAAAATGGCATGGAAGTATCAATTTTAGGAACCGTCAGTATACATGGCGCCACTCCTTGTCACAATCTGTCACCTTATTCGGTCACAACTCATTAACGTCATTATCACATGTACAGCTTGCTTGACAGAGAGGAGTAAATGAGTACTACTTAAGGAGTCACGAAGACTGGCCAACATGCTTGTATATTTCGTTTAGTCCGTTACAATTTATAGAGAAAAGTATAGTTACCGTTACAGTTAAAGATACCCTTATAGTTGTAGATACTGTTACAGTTAAAGTTGCTGTTACAGTTATAATTACCGTCAACGCTATAGATAAAATAAGAGTTGTATAATGGTACCGTTACAGGTATAGATATCATAACAGCTTTAGTTACGGTTCCAGGTGTATATAGATACCGTTACATCTATAGATACCGTTACAGTTATGTAAGGGACCGTTGCGTGTATGGTTACTGTTAAATCTAGTGCCACAGCTACAAGCATACGTTTCCATAATGTGGTACAAGTAATGTCTTTTAGTACAGAAACTGAATAACTTAATGTTTAGGTATCCAAAATGTGTATGTCCATCAAACTTTATTTTGCCGGACTGAGATAATAATCCTTACTGCGTTGAATAGAAAACATATTGGCAATTTCAGTGACTCTAGCGGAGATTTGTTTTGTTATGAACACCAAGCAGGACGCCATATACGGATGTCACGGTGTGCCGTTAGTTGAACTGTAACCGTTAAAAGCTGACAAGACAGACACACCATGGACCGAGTAACGTGAGTCATTCACTAAAGGTAAATCTCAAAGTTCTTGAGACCATTTTCCCCTCTGGCAGTCACAGCCAACCCTCCCATTGCGTACAGTCGGTACAACCACATTAGTGAAAGCCCCGGTCCCTCGGTCCCAATTCTAACACGTGTGGTAATGACTCGAGATCGCCGCACCAAGACAACAGTTTAGGATTCGGTGGCTTCGCACAGGGATTCCAAACACGTGTCTTCAACACACTTCTACTTGGCTTTAGTTTTTTAAAATTTATAATTAAACAAAATATTATTAGCAGCAGCAGATTGAAAGGGCAGAGTCTATAGGTGTCTTAACTTATAGATTTTAATTGTTAGCTTATCATCTCATGTTGTCACCACTAACTTAAAAAAAAAAAAAAAAAAAAAAAAAAAAAAAAACTTAACTGCTATCAACCACTTCGACTTTTCCGTATCAACAAGGAGTTCATGCACAAGGAGTTCATGCGCTATTAATATTTTACTGAGAAAACAAAGTAAATTGTTTTTAGCCGACTTGAAAGTGTGGTGGGCAATTTTTGTGTTTCACGGAGGATTTTGCTTGTTTAATCACCAAGAGTGCACATTTGAAGTTTTTTAAGAAGATGCCGTGTTTTGTTTGAGATTAGTCTCCTTATTCTGACGCGATGTCTTCACCTTCTGGTCCCACTACTCGTTGCATTCGTCTGGCCTGATTTTTTATCCAGGTGTGACTTTTCTGGTAAATAGCTCGTCCAACTAGAATTTTTCAAAACACTTTTGACATAACAACTGTTTGAATAGTCCATCATTGTGAACAGGGATGGCCTAATTGTTGGGTTAGTATTCCAAACTGTCAGTCTACATTCAATCAGTCGTCTTATTTTGTTATACAAGCGCATCATGGTCCTGGCGAACACACTGTGAGCGTTACAAGACAGCATAACATTACATGCGCTATTCGATATGATCGTGCCTCTTGGATTCCATTAAAGTCCCAAAATCCTTTCATATAGTGTGGATGTAATCATCAACAGATCTCTAAGTTAGAACCACCGATAAAACTAGTAGAAAGAAACTGAACAAAATAAAGGGAACACCGGAACCCCACACCCCTTTACTTTTCCCCCATCACCAACCTCACCCAAAATTAACAAAAAAATTAGTACCATAAACCAGGTCGCAAACGCTAGTGATGTAAATCTTCTGTCCTGATATGTGATGCCTGGGCTACGCCCCTCTCCGTTCTTTCCCCACTTTTGTCTGTCACGGTGCCCTCTTCCGACTCGCTTTCCCGCATGTTTTCCTCCCCAACATTTTGACCTTCGATGTATCCTACGCCACCATATTCATTTTCATCTCTGCTACTCCCCTCATCTTGCCATAAGCCATCCAAGTTGTCGGCTGCTACCAGCGACTTAGCACTGGAGGCCGTATCAAGCCCTGATGGCTTGAACCTATCCTCTAATATTGATTCCTTCTCGTCGGGCAAATCTTGCTCTGAGATAGGGAAGTCCCAATAGTTGAAATGAACCGGCTGGTTGGCACTCGGGCTGAAATAGTTCGCTTGTGTCTCTGACTGTGATTTAAGAGTCCCTTGGCTGGAGGTGTGGGATCCCATTGTCGTCTTACTGGTTATTTCTGGAAAATCTGAGCTTCTTTTGAATAAAGGGTGACTTCGTTGCTGAAGATCCATATGTCGAGTCTGTGGCCCAACCTGTACTGCTATTTGATCGGTGTGGTATAACGCGCTTGAATCAACATGTCTTTTAACGCGTTGTGGTGTCATGGGTTCTGACCGCTTTCCCTTTAGACTACTGTGTGATTCAGGATCAAACTTTCTTTTGTCAATGAAGCGTGTTCTAGAAGATGGCCGAGCATTTCTTTTCTCGATAGAATGTAGATACTTGCTGAGTGAGGCCTGTCGGGGTCGGTAGTACCTGTCATCTGAGTCATCTAATTTTTTCCAGTCAAAGGGAACACGTTTATTGCCGAGGTAATTTTGTGAAATTCCACTTAGTTCACTCTCAGCAATAGAGTCGAATTGTCGCTTCCTTAAAAATTGAACTTTACGTTTTTCCAAAAAGTTTTGATCAAAATCAGTCAATCTATTTCTCCAAACGGAATCAAAGCGTTTTCCACCCAAATAGTTTTGATTTATCCCCGATAAGCCACTTTCGCCAATAGAATCAAAACTTCTTTTACCCAAATAGTTTTGATTTATTCCCGATAAGCCACTTTCACCAATAGAATCAAAGCTTCTTTTACCCAAATAGTTTTGATTTATTCCTGATAAGCCACTTTCACCAATAGAATCAAAACTTCTTTTACCCAAATAGTTCTGATTCATGCCCGATAATCCACTTTCGCCAATAGAATCAAAACTTCTTTTGCCCAAATAGTTTTGATATATTCCCGACAAGCCACTCTCGCCAATAGAATCAAAACTTCTTTTACCCAAATAGTTCTGATTCATGCCCGATAATCCACTTTCGCCAATAGAATCAAAACTTCTTTTGCCCAAATAGTTTTGATATATTCCCGACAAGCCACTCTCGCCAATAGAATCAAAACTTCTTTTCCCCAAATAATTTTGATCCATCCCCGATAATCCGCTTTCGCCAATAGAATCAAAACTTCTTTTACCCAAATAGTTTTGATTCATTCCCGATAATCCACTTTCGCCAATAGAATCAAAACTTCTTTTACCCAAATAGTTTTGATTTATTCCCGATAATCCACTTTCGCCAATAGAATCAAAACTTCTTTTACCCAAATAGTTTTGATTTATTCCCGATAATCCACTTTCACCAATAGAATCAAAACTTCTTTTACCCAAATAGTTTTGATTTATTCCCGATAATCCACTTTCACCAATAGAATCAAAACTTCTTTTACCCAAATAGTTTTGATTCATTCCCGATAATCCACTTTCGCCAATAGAATCAAAACTTCTTTTACCCAAATAATTTTGATTCATCCCCGATAATCCACTTTCACCAATAGAATCAAAACTTCTTTTGCCCAAATAGTTTTGATTTAACCCCGATAATCCACTTTCGCCAATAGAATCGAAACTTCTTTTGCCCAAATAGTTTTGATTTATTCCCGATAATCCACTTTCGCCAATCGAATCAAAACTTCTTCTATCCAAATAGTTTTGATTTCCTAAATGGTTTTTGAATAACCCCGATAAATCTCTAACTCCCATGGAATCAAAATTTCTTTTTCCTAAGTGGTTTTGGTTAAGTCCTGATAGATCACTTCCTCCTATGGAATCAAAACTTCTTTTCCCTAAATGGTTTTGGTAAAGTCCAGAAAGATCACTAGCTCCAATAGAATCAAAACTTCTTTTCCCTAAATGGTTTTGGTAAAGTCCAGAAAGATCACTAGCTCCAATAGAATCAAAACTTCTTTTCCCTAAATGGTTTTGGTAAAGTCCAGATAGATCACTAGCTCCAATGGAATCAAAACTTCTTTTCCCTAAATGGTTTTGGTAAAGTCCAGATAGATCACTAGCTCCAATGGAATCAAAACTTCTTTTCCCTAAATGATTTTGGTAAAGACCCGATAAATCACTGCCTTGAATGTTGTCAAAGTTTCGTTTCCGCAAATAGTTTTGAGATAATCCCGTTAATCCATTTTCGCCAACAGAATCAAAACTCCGTGTTTTAACAAATGTGTTCACTGCGACATTGGGATCATTCTCACTAAGCAATGAATTCAAGCTGCGTTCTTTACCATTTCTTTTAAATCTGTTGGATTGTCGTGTTAACAAGTTCACGTTAACACTGGATAGGTCGCCGTGGCGTCTTCTCCGACGTGCCTCAGCTCCCTGATTTCGATTAGCAGTTCCTGGAGATTGTTCTTCCGACAACGGAGCCGTCTTGTTTTCACGCTGCTCTGTTTTCGGTACTGTGTAAGATGTGCCTGATCCCTGTTGCTGTTTGTACGTCTCTAAATGGTGGGCGGCCACTGATGCGTTCTTCTCATTATCGTGGCTTTCTTTGGGATTCTGTAATAAAATAAAAATGTAAAAAAATGTGTTATTAGATAGTGGCATCGAGTTGTCTGAATGGGGAAAAATTATATGCAAAAACAACAAAACATCAAATAATCAATGTAAACGTCAACCTCAGCTATCCAGTCTTTTTTGTAGACAAGACACAGACATCGTAACAGTTATAGAACATTTTAAAACATAAACCAGAGTGACCACCAAAAAACAAAAACAAAAAAACAAACAAACACCAGGTCACACGCTTTTACGTCTTGTGCATCTGCCGTTTTGCACAGCTGAATTCGTGTGCGTGTAATAAGTGCTTTTATAACAACATAAAAATGTATAAGCATTGGTTAGTGCAAAGTTGCCAAACTGAAATTAATTGGAACTATCTGGAGGAATATATAGCCCCAATTAAAGTTTCATATATTGCCCAAATAATGTTTTCTGATCAGTAAGCTTTCGTATGTTTTGAACTTAATAAGCCTTTATAACCTAGATGGCAACTTGTGTTAGCTACACATACTGATTTGTTTTGTACTTTATTTTAATACATCTTCCATTTTCCACACAAGATCGGCAGCACGCTTTATAAATGAGAAATATGTACTAAATACGTCTGATAGACCTACGTCTATGACGTTGTTGACGCCATTTGGCTTATGAGTTTGATAGAGCCGGGCACTTGAGACTATTCAACATGGTATGTGCCGGTAGTTGCCAGCTCATCACGGCGCCCAGTGGTGATCGGTTTACGATCAAGTGCAACAGATCGGTCTTGAGGGGCCTATACGTGTCACATTAACATGACAAGTAAAGCCCAGCAAGCCCAGATTTACCGGTAACCTCAAGTCATGGCATCCCAAACAAGCAGATGTGGCACGGGTGGGTAATTTAAACCTATTGACTAGGGCAATGTTTCGTTGGGATATTTAATGAGGGCAGTGTTTATCAAATCTACTGACTAGGGCACAATTTCTTAAACATTTGTATTGGGGCAGAGTTTATCAAACATATTGACATGGAGAGTTTCTTAAACATATATTGTTATAGAAGAGTTTATCAAATCTATTGACCAGGGAGAGTTTCTTAACATATATTGTTATAGCAGAGCTTATCAAATCTATTGACCAGGGAGAGTTTCTTAAACATATATTGTTATAGAAGAGTTTATCAAATCTATTGACCAGGGAGAGTTTCTTAAACATATATTGTTATAGCAGAGTTTATCAAATCTATTGACCATGGAGAGTTTCTTAACATATATTGTTATAGCAGAGTTTATCAAATCTATTGACCAGGGAGAGTTTCTTAAACATCTATTGCTATAGCAGAGTTTATCAAATGTATTGACCAGGGAGAGTTTCTTAACATATATTGTTATAGCAGAGCTTATCAAATCTATTGACCAGGGAGAGTTTCTTAAACATATATTGTTATAGAAGAGTTTATCAAATGTATTGACCAGGGAGAGTTTCTTAAACATATATTGTTATAGCAGAGTTTATCAAATCTATTGACCATGGAGAGTTTCTTAAACATCTATTGCTATAGCAGAGTTTATCAAATCTATTGACCAGGGAGAGTTTCTTAACATATATTGTTATAGCAGAGTTTATCAAATTATTGACCAGGGAGAGTTTCTTAAACAAACATATATTGATATAGCAGAGTTTATCAAATCTATTTTATATGGGCGAGCACTGTTTCTTAAAAAATATATTTAGTACCGTGTTTATCAAACCTCCTGACCAGGGCAGTGTTTCTTAAACTTATTTTTATTAGGGCAGTGTTTATCAGATCTACCAACCGGGGCAGTGTTTTACAATGTATTTTAATTATTAGTCAACATTACTTTTAGAAAAACCGTGAGTGTAATGTTTTTCAAAACCACTAGTACAAACTGGGGCAGTGTTTGCAAACCTGGTTTATTATGGCAGTGTTTTACAGCGTGTCTTATTAAGAATAGTGTCGATCAAACCTACTGACTAGGGCAGAGTTGTGCTGGCATATTAACTAGGAAATAGATTCTCAAACGTTTCCACTGAGCTGTACTTTTCAAGAGTGATACGCAGTTACACTAACTTATAAAAGAAGATACTCAAATTGAAAGTGATCTTAGCTATCAAGAATGCTATTCTATTGAAAACGTTGTATCACGATTGAAGGAGAGCGCCATTTTATGTGTTTAAATATTTTTCAATTTAGATTTCGTGCTTAAAAAAGAAAAAACAACGGAAAATCCTCAAAATCTGCTTATAATATTTTTTTTATTTCCTGTCTGTAGAACTCCTTAAAAAAAATCGCTGGGAATCAAGGTGTCTGAAGCCGTCTTACAATCCAAGCCCTGGGATATCTAATGTCGACTGCACTTTCGAAGGTTTCAATTCCATCGGATAAAACTCAATTGCGTTTATGAAGGCGATTACCAGCCATTGCTTGGCCGTGCACGGTTGTGCTCCAGAGCTTCCAAGAGGGACCTTCATTACCGGCGAAACAGTGCCAATACAGAAATCCATTAGGTCGGGAAAAACATGCATGGCTTGTGGGTTTAACAGACTTAATGCCCAGAGTCTTGGGAGGGGACCTCGTTATCGTGGTTTCATTATATTATTGGAAATAAATGAGGGGAGCGGGAGGGAGGGGGGGGGAGCTTGGAAAGTGTTCATGATGAGATATTCGCGTAGTTTTGACCATAACGAAGAAGCGTTTCGCGCTGTAGGGGTAACAACATGGCTGACCTCCAGGGTCAGTCATAAATAAGAGGCTATATAAATATATACATAATTAAATACAGATTTACAGTGATTCATAGGGGTTATTATAAAATATGCAGATAGATGGGAACTGTAAAAACAACATAAAAAATAACGGGTCTAGGACAATGTCTGCTAAATCAGTCCATAAATTGTCCTTTCAAACTTGACTTTACCACACTCGCGTTAACTTTTCCGCCCATTTGAAAGATTCCACAGAATGAGAATTTCCTTCATTTTGTCATTCTTCTTGTCTGACGTGATCACTAAAAGCTTCTGTCTGTGTATCTTAGGATTATATTGATATAAAAATAAAAATCCTCAAATACATGCTGGTTTTTGAAAAGAAGAAAACAAATCTCTTTGTAAATCATGCCTAAAAAAATTGTAAACGCAACAAGCTGCGGAAATCCTCTTAATGTGTTCTGTTACTCTTCAGCTTCATAAAATGTACCTTGCTCAGGTCCATGGTGATAAGAATCCGACTTTATTTATTACTGTATTAATTATTTAAACAAAAACAATCTTAATTGTTCTATTCGATACCTTATTACGACGGAACCTATTTTGTGCTTTTAATTTTACGCATTAAAAGAAATTTTCTCCAATATATGGAAACTTCTTCCTTTTTGTTAACTGCACAAGATTTTAATGTGCAAATTCTTTCTCCGAGTTGCCCGTGATGAGCTGTGTTAACGTGACCACAAGGTCGCACCATTGCCGCGTCAGAGTTCAGGTCCACGTGACCATCAGATCACGTCACCTTGCAAGAGTTGTGTTAAAAATGAATCACCAGTAGCTGATGATAGTGAAATGAGATATTTTAATTCTCAAGAGAGTTCATAGAAAAAAAAATTTGGCAGTCGCTTATGTAGCATGGTATATAGTTCCGAGTCCGACACACACAAATTACGTAATTCTGGTCTTTCTTAACGCAGAGATGGGAGTTTTATTTTGTAACTATCAGCAGAAACACCAACAGACACCGATACTTCACAGTGTTTATTAAGTATTTATTACACGCATTTTGGTGTAACTTTAAAATAAATAAATGCGAATTTCACGAATTGTCGATTAACACTATTTGCTCGTAACCTACATTTTATCCGAGGAGATTGCGAAACTCACATATTAACATATACTGCTACTAATGGAAGAAACGAATGAGCGAATGAAACCAAATGCATTTAATATAGATCTACTACAGTATTTTATCATTCAGCCATTTCGCCCGAGGCCACACATTTTAACAATGGTGTCCGTATTGTACATGGTATGAACAGAAGATTGCGCAATTTAATAACAGAGCACGCATGTATACCTATTCATGGAATCTTTGTTTAATTTATACTTCATAACCTCTTTCGCCCATTTACATTTCTTTGCCCTGCGACCTGATTTTAAAAGGAAAAAAGAACACACGAGAAACCAACTAATGTAAAACTTAAGTGAATAGAAACCATTAGCATCATAAATTTGTACACAGTTAACTTGAGCCACGCACGATTCTAAGCAAATTTAATCTTAGTCTTAGCGTCGGCTAGATTTTATTTTGAAAAAAAATATTGATTAAACCAATAGATTAAAAAAAAAATTATTAGATTTAGATGGTATTCTTAATGAAGTTTTTATATCTTATAT